TCCGTCCATGTTTGTCGGAAATAGCAGTTGAACGAATACGTCTAAATTTTTTTTACTATACAAGGAATTTAAATCAAGGGTGTCAATCAAGGAATACACTGTTATAATAATCCAGGCTAACATTAGTATCACAAGCATGAAGCGCGTCTCGCGCAGTAGTTAAAGATGTATTGAATACAACGCTTGAAGGCCCGGTCTCACGCTCCAATCCGACCAGTCTTTTCACCACCCAGGTGATTAACTCTCTAAAAGACTTGTTTGGGATGCGAAGTGTACTGAGATTTTTCATCGGTAGGCCGCCACTGGTCATTCCACGGAAATGGCCAATCTTGCATATGGCTTCATTTCCCGTATAACTTTGAAATTTTGTCACCCTCTCTCAGCATCGTAAATGCTAGACGGACATGATTATTTCTAGGAGCACCAGATAATGGAAATAGAGGAAATTTGCCTCCTATCAATTTTCACGATGACAGCTCCTTTTCTGAGGACAGCGAGTCATTCAGTTGGTCGACCGACATCAAAGTCATCAGTAATCATTTGATAGGGTAATGTTATCTGATTCTAGTGATGCGCTTGTTTTCTAGAAATGTAATTTAGCGCGGAGAGTAAGATCGAGTATTATATTTCAGTAATGTTGTTTACAGATTAGTCTACAAGGCGAAGGCCGTGGCAAGGGCGGCTCCAGGAGCGGAGCGAGGGAGAGGATCGATATTTTATTACTTAATTGGATATTTTTCCTCTTTTTTTAAGAGAAAGCTAAGATAAAACGATTGTTTAAGATACTACGAAAACTTCTCTACACATTAATATGCTCTTCGGCTTCCAGCGAATTTCATGCATGATAAAAATGGACGAAAAAGGCGAGTGTCAAATATAGCTTTTCATTTGAATGCTACAGTGTTGTAACAGGGTTTTTGAAAAACCGGAAATGTGCGGCGATAGCCTCAAGTCTCAGCTTTCGAATGGCTGCTATCACTCCCGTGAAAAGTTTTTTCTCCAGCGAATGAGATCGGGTTTTCATTTTTTACCTCATAATCTTAAAGAACTTATACATAAATCTTTATTTTGATATTTTTAGCAAAAACTATGTGAATTTTGTTGTTTCTGGTGGTCCGTTGGTGGACACTTTGTCAGTCAAATCTGAGGACTGGCAGATCCGAATTGTGAAGGAAATAGAGACTACGCTGCAAAGCTGAAGTGTATAGAAAAGAAGGCAACTTTATTTCGTCTCATCGAGCTTTATAATTCGTAATAATAAATTGAAGCGCGTGTGGCACAGTCGTTGATGGTACACTACGACTCACACGCCGTCAGTGGTTTCATCCCACACGCGTGGTCTATCAGACCTCCTATCCCGCCTGTGTCGCTGAATTGATTCCAGACTTGTTTGGGAGCATAACAGCACTAAACTGAAGCATCGTGATGAGGTCGAATGTATGACATATCACTCAGGCATTAACGTCGAAGGCCTTATTCTTTATAACAACATAGAAAGGAAATTCAATGATCAGAAAACTAAGTGAATAGCTCGAACTTTGTTGGAGATAATAACCACCAGTAGTCATCGTTTCGGTGATGAATGCCCTTAATAAAATCACTGCAATTATGACTGCATTTGAGAAAAAAAAATAGCTGAGGAGCAACAGCCTAAGCATACTCACTTTACTCAAAAGATGAAAGATACCGGTAATATAAATTTTGTGAAAGCCGTATATACCTTTATAAGAAAGTTACAGATCACCTACATTGGTTAGATCGGAAATTGGACCCATAGTGCGAACAAAAATGTCGATGAACACGATTGTAGGTTTCACTGCAAAATAAGTGAATACTGCGAAATCATTGGTGTAGATGTAGTTTTTAGAGTGTTTATATTGACAGCATATTTTGAGCCTTTCATGAGGTCTGTTATGGCACTTGCACAGATATTCTGTAGATTGTATTAATTTCAAGAGAGGTCTTAACAACAGTCGAATATAAAGAAATTATCAAAAATGCCAGCCTTAAGCAACCGATTGTTGATTACTGCAATGTCCGGTGATCATGCTTTTAGGCATGCAGGACATACAGTAGTATGTTGTCTTTGTTATCGGTGAAGTGAATTTTCATTCTACACGCGGCAATGCAACATGTTCATCGGCGATTCTTATAGGTAAGGGGGGGGGGGGGGTTGCTGCCCGAAAGGGATTGGCTCAGACGAAAGGCACTGTGCAGCTGACAAAACCGCAAAGCCGAAACACGCTTATTGCACTGCATATGTGTCATAAAACACCTCATGAAAGGCTTGAATTATGCTGTCAGGGTGCATTAATTTTAAGGCGAGGCTCTAAAAAATAGTCGAATATGAAGAGTCATACTGTTGAATCCTGGTCGCAGATGACGATCGTAACCCTCCAATACTTGATTCAGCAGGTGTAGTAACGTTGTTCGCAACTCCTTTGCTTAGTAAAACATATTTAGTTCGTTTTTCTTTGACTTACAACATCTTTGTAAGAAGGAAAATTTTGAATTGCAGAAGTGTTAGGAGCCAAATCGAACTACCTGGCATGTCGACGAGAGTTTGCAATCGGTTTTTCTGTTGTGAAGCTTACGTTCACGACTTGATAGGGTGCAGGTTGTAACAAATTTATGTGCCCAAAAAACAGCACGATCAGTGGCGTTCTCATTCTGAAACTAAAACATGATTCCTAGTCAGATTTTGTTTGAAGGCACATAATTATATCTACTTCTCACTAACGTCTTTTTTACATTAATTAGGCTAAAGTTGGGTCGCTTTGATGCAAAAAGATTCCGAATATACTATATGTCGTATAATCTACAAACTTGGATATAAAATTGCGAGCTGAGGCTGCATGTTACATTAACAATACCTAGCCAAGGAGCTGTTTCCAGTGTATGGTAAAACGCTGTTCAAAACGTTGTATGAAAAAATTGAGAATTATCAATCCTTTCAGGACTACAGCTGAAGTCGTCGGGCGCAGCATAATTCACAACCGTGCGCGATTTTTGTTAGTTAATTAGAGTTTTCATTGTTTTGAAAATAATTCCAGAGTTTTTGTAAGTTTTACACTTTTCTCTACACACTCGATTGCGTTTGGTGCAAATATAACTCTAATTTATAAATGAAGAGCTCTTTTCACTACGGAAATACAGTGTTTCTGGAATCTGTTAGTTGTAATGAGTCGTTAAAAGAATATTATAATATGAATCTATCAGCTTTGATATATATTTTATTATATCGTACTTGGAAAGTTATTGCAGTGGCTGAAAATTAGAAAACAATGGATATCCCGTCAAAAATTTCATTGCACAGCGCTTGAGATTCCAGTTCATTGATAACTCGCACTGTGACTAAGTTTAGTACTTTTCCGTTATCGGGTAAGGATTTTTTAAGAGAATCTCTTTTGCTGAACAAAAACTTTCCACCAAACTACCAGTGACTCTTTATAAGCTCGAATCTTGCAGAATTTAAAAATGCATTTGTTTTTTAGAAAGCTTTTACCAGTGCTGTACTATTAAAATAATTCATCCATCACATGTCGCGTATTATCGCGCTTCTACTTTGCTGGTCTAACTTGTGTACTTAAAAATGCACCATACAAGCTTTTTCTAGAAGACACGCATTGAAGAAAATGTGCTTTGTAATTAATCGTAAAGAAACAAGCAAAAGAAATGGAAATGCGCCATTTACCCGTTGATATGACGTTCGTATTAGGAAAGGGAATTTTCAAAACACTTGGACGTTCTTTTTGCTGAAAAACCCTCTACAGAAGGCCTTGAGCAACAAATCATTTTCTCTGATCATGAATTGTCTCTTAGATGTGAAAATTTCTCTACCAATAGCATCAAATACGCTACGAAGCTTATGCGACAAGCTAACTACTCATATTGTAAAACGTGATCTAAATTCCTTTGCTAGAAAGCTTATTTTGAATCTTTGAATTGTTACTTTTCAAGCTATCGAATGACTCCTAAAATTCCACTGAAAAGCGCAGCAGAAAAGATAGCGGACTGCACAGAGTACTCCGAAGGCAAGACGGAATTTCTGCTCGTCGCTATTACAGTGCAATAAGAAGCTTTACTTAGAGATTATGTTCACGATTAGAATTACCGTTTCTGAGTTATCTAAAGACTACTAAAACCTCAGTGAAAAAACTTTGTTTGGTGGAAAAGCCAAGCTAGCACAAGGACAAAATTCACTATACACTCCAAGAAAAAACCTAATTTTTCCTTCGTTTCTACAGTTGACTAGAAAAGTGGGTTTAAAAATCAAACACAGTATTAGAACCATAATTTCTTGAGCTATCGCACAACTACTGAAAGTATAGTCAAAAATTTCTGCTTGGTGAGAAAACCACTGAAAGACGCGTGCACCACTTATGCTACACGTGGTCCCAAAGGGTTAAAGCGGATGGTTCGGGCGATGCGTTAACATTGATAATGACTAGTTTATTGAGAGTTTCCTTAAACTGACGAGAATGAATTAGATCTATACAAAAAGTCTACAAATTGGAAAAAATGCACAAAGAGCTGTCACTTCTACAACCGACTCCAAAAAGGCTCAATTCTCTTTACATGACAACGACCAACGACTATTCAAATGACTTCAGATATCGAGGAGGACTGAACAGGAAAATCCACCTGAACTCACCAGATGTTCGCGTTAACTTAGCACACTTTCACTGATATTGACGACTTTCTGTGACCAACGTTTTGTTGAGATGTATGTCCACTAGTAAAGCTTGTTCTGTGGTGCAATCTGAGCAGATGAACAGTAGATGAACAACTTTAGGGCTGAAAACCTACATGACTTCTGCGATAACCTAGCATTTAAACAGTCCGAATTTTTGGATTTCTATCACGATTGATAATACAGACCGACTCAGCGTAATTAAATAACACTATCCAATACAGCTACGAGTGCCCCGCCACACCGTAGACGGTTGGCTGTTGACGGATAACACGTCACAGTGTAGAAAGAGTGGAGTGCAAAACGAGCGTCGGTGGTGCAACGGTTTAGCACATACCACCGGAAAGAGTAAGGTCTAGGTTTGAATCCCGGCCATCGCAAACATTTTTGAATTCCACTCTACATCATGGGGTTTATCGTAACATTATAACAGCGCAATAGGCGGTCAAGTAAAATGATCTCCTATACGATTCGACGGTTGATAAAACTTGATGTATTACTAGTTTCTTTACAATTTACTCTAATCGTGTGTCTTCTAACGTAGTGTTTTTACTGCATAAAATCACTTTGGAGACAACGACTGCGGTCACTTAATCACGATTAATGAATCTAATCTGCAATATTTTCAGAGCTCACAAAAGAGATAGATGTTAGGATCAGCTTTTTGGAAGTCAATGTACAAGTTAAATTCCACTTTTCCATAGCAAGACAATAGCTTACTTTTCGGATGTCGTGCTATTATACATTAGTGGATAGCACAATTGCTAGCAAATCCCAGAGTTTGAAATTTTAGGTGCCGAAAGAACAAATTGAACGAATCTGCTTTAACGTAATTCAAACTCGCAAACTAGAGGAGGAACTCAATATAAAATACGATAACTGCTTCGGAGCGTGTGAAGAAAAGTGAGAGATGGAGAATGTTTGACGAGTAGGTGCCAAATGAACTGAGTAATTTTCCAGAATAGCGCAAGGGTCTCTCCTCGAATCACTACCACTGCAAGCCCCAACTAAGCGAGATAAGAAGTTTTTCCACGTCCACCATACATTCCAAGATTCTCTTCTACTGAGGACAACAAACGTAATCAAAAACCTGAATGATCTTCTGGACAAGAAATGCTTTGGAAATCAAGCCAAGGAATAGGCTGTCTCCAGACTTCATTGGTTACCGATCTCCAAAGTATTTGCAGCCAGAATGTATGAACTTTCTTCGCGTTGGAAAGTTGAAGAATCAATTGGTTTACGTTCAACAAGATCCATTCTGAGCTATGACATGCCACTTTAACAAGCAGGTTGAAATTCTGCACTAATTTCCAAGAGATCTAACATATCATTATGTCGCATAGAGAAGTTGAAGCCTCGCCGAAGTTAGTGTAATAGCTCAATGTATTTTGCCTAAATGTCAGGAGGGCGTTGAAAGGAAACGAAAAAGCACAACGCAATAGTAATGGCCAACCCTCAAGGGAATCGTCTGTCAGAATCACGCGCAATATCAACAGCCATCACCACTCGCATTCACATCCATTTTCAGGAAAAATCTGAAAAAATATTGATGACATTTGGATATTTCTAATGCCTCCACAAAAATATAATTCCCATGCTTCCTCTGTGGGTATGAAAACATTTCTTACTTTAACGATAAAGGAAAGCTTGTGATCGAATAAACTTAGGCGAAAGTACCTGTAAGCAACTCATTCCAGAAATTCAACAACACTAATGAGCATCTCGCCTCGTTATCGCTTTTCACATGACTGGCAACGTTTATTGTGCAGATCCTACCACTTCTTTTATAGCTCGTTTCTTTGCATTCTTCACCAACTAAAACCTGGTTTGCTCGTTAGTTCACCTGCTGCTTGAGTACATAAATTTTCGGTCTTTGTTGTGATTTTGATTATATGGTAGCACTTAAACAGTGTAAAACACATGTTCCGGCCTTGCAACCTCATCACCTTCGTTTAGTCACTTTCTCGGGGATCTACCCCTATATAAGTGAACATAACAGAGCTCATGAAAGGCTCAAAATACATTGTCAGATTTTACTGATCTTCATCGAGGTCTGAAGTCGATGATAGGCTTGGTCACATAACATCACATATGGTCACATAACAGCCGTACGCCATGGAATCGACAATCAATCACCCTGGGAGAACCGGCGAATATTTCACCGTACGTTGGGTGTATAGAGTTCGTCGTCGGTTCCTTGATAATCCAGAGAACTGGCTGAACGTGAAGACACCGTGAAACTGATAAAGCTGTAAGGACGAACCACGTGTCTTGCATTGTTATGAAACGTTCAGATCACATTGTCAGATTACATTGTACCTGAGTAAGGTCTCAAACAGTCGATCGATTTAATTTTTCTGCACTTTTACGCATTAGTGTTTCTAAGGTATAAACAGCTATTGGCAGGCATCCAATGATGTTGAGTGATGCGCAAAACTTAAAAAGCTGGACAGGATGCGAACCCTCATTAACCCTTTCGGGAGCACGCGCTAACCATTGCACTGTCGGTGATCGTTCTATCCCTTTTCTTCGACGCAACTGTATCAATCTGTCGGCAGCCAATCGTCAGCGTTTTGGCTTGTTAAGCCGATATCGGCAATAAACCCAGTCTCTCTGACAGATATTGGATATATGGGTGACTATTATTTAACCGCTTTTAGGGGCGTTATGGTGTTACAAACATATCCAATAATGTTGAGTGATGTGAGAAACTCAGCACGCAGTTTTTGGAAGAGTGAAATGCGGGTTCGAATTCTGTTCGACGTTCACAGTTTGCACATCACCCAGCATTATCGGTTATGTATCTAAAAAAGTCGACAACGATAAACTTCTAGCGTTAATCAGTCACTGAAAGGTGTATTCGGTAATCGACTACATCAAACATCTGTTGTAGCAATTTGAAAGAATATTTGAGCTTTTGTTAGTTTAAGAGAGAAAGTTCCTTATCACCCGCGAAAAATTCAGATTTTATGTTTCTTTCACATAGTATCGGTTATTGCAAATTCATGGAAATATCTCAAAAATATTTGCATGAAAACCCCCTACGGCATTAGAGGAGATTTACCCGACAGTGACTTGTCGAAAGCGCTCGATATTTTAGCATGACAGTGCCAAACCTCACACCGCAAAGAAGACTAAGCAAAAGTTTGATGAATTGGAGGATTTCAGGTCTTGCTGCACCCAGCCCACAGTCCAGTTACTGCGCCTCCGTTTGCTCCGTTCCTCAATGGAACATTTCCTACGTGAACGCAGATTCGAGACATTTGATCAAGTTGAAGAGACATGTCAGGAGTATTCATCCAAAACTCAAGGAATGGTGATTTCAAGAAGACTCGGAAACTTGCAAATTGTTGGCAACATGTCGTGGATAATGATGGTCTTCGTTTTCAAAAGTATCTGTTGCTGTTTTTGAATAAATTTATGCATAGACGTCGAATTTTCGGCAGGCATTGAGGAAGTTTTTTCAACCTAATACATCACTCGTGGTGGCTTACCAATGCTTCTGTTAATGTTGCCTATCCTTCAAGACAGCTGTGATACTAATTCTCTGATTCCTCAATGATGGAAAGCTTCAAAAGCCTGAAACTTCGGCGTGATCAAGCCAACGATCAAAACATAACGACAGTTAGTTTTCCATGCTATCTGTAGGATCCACGGGTCAATGTCGCCGTCAATCCTCTGCACGGTTAATCGTTACGGGAGCTGGCGCACCTCAGATGGTGAAGGCGATTAAACGCAAACCAAAAGCTTTTCAGTGATACGGGTGGATTCCAGGACGAACTTCCTATATGTGGAGCCAATTTAACATACTTTATTTAGCTTTTTCAAAAGCCTGCAATTAGGAGGCTGTAAAGTGCATGAGAGACAATTAGGAGTCGCTTTCCTTAACTAATCTCCTTCCTATCTTTCCAGGGATACATGCAAACTAGCAGTGAGTACCCAGTCTCTAGGTTATGAGTTTAGCAGCAAAACGTTGGGTAAAATGTAAAATATGGTAAGAGAAAAACGTCATTCCACTGACCCTGTAAGAGTCCCGTACGTCAGCGTCAGAAAAGACGATCACCAAGAATCGGCTCAAATCTTAGAATCAAACCAGGCTGCTAAAATCGAAACGGAGTAATGTGACGATCTGTACTCATGATGTACATGCACTTGCCTACGGTATCAATGCAAGCAAGAAGAATAAGATATAACGTCATTGGCTTAGTTTAGACGAGAAGGCACCACTCATTTCACGCTGACTGTGAACACCGGATCATGCGATCGCAGAAGTGTTGAAAGAATTACGTTCGCATCAAAACGAGTTCATTGATTCATTTGAATCATTCGTAACTCTGATCGGACGACTGCGCTTGAAACGATGTGAATCGGTACCGGCTATGATCATCTTCATTATTTACGGACCAAATTCAAGCTATAACGAAGACAAAGTTGAGACGTTCTATATAGACCTGTAAAATCTCCTCGGGAAGATTAGTTCATTCTTCATGGTCGCAGTGGAAAGTTCGAAGCGAGAACTGGACCTAAAAGAGCGCCTGAAGAACGTCATTTTGGGAATTACGGAGCAGATCGGAGCCAATAGAAATTTACTACAAGGTGAATATGTAATTTGTCGTAGTTATTTTCGTAATGAGCTAGAATCAAAATTCTAGGTCATCGAAAAAGAAGGAGAACGTTCAGTTTTATGCTGTCATATCACTACAAATTACACCCATTTGCTGCTTGTTCCACTTGGAGGAGATTTTTGTGGAAGTCTTATCCGGTTAGTTTTCTGGCGCCTTCGCCTACTTTTGAGCTGCGACGATTCCATTCGACTGTTAAGAGTCAGTTCTGCCTCCGATTTGGGTCTACGCAATGGCTTAAAATTGTAGCTTTCGGAGTGAAGCGCTGTTGAAATGAAGTAACATTACTGGACAGAGCCCTTTTATACAGGATAACTATTGATTGAATGACAGCCTGTTGAAGAGAAGTGACTATCTTATCATAATAATATCATTATAGACAATACAAGTCTTAACAAAGGGATATCAACCCACAACCGTCCCGTATAGACGTGCGCTGTCGAGTGAGGTAACTTCATTCAAATGATGTATCAAACCAGGTGATTCAGCCTGGTTAAAACCACCATTTGACGGATGTACGAAGATCTTCTTTTCAGGGAGAAGCACCTGCGGAAAATTGAATCGAGTCGTCACAGCTTAGAAGAAGTTGGAGGATCTGAATAAAGTTCTACACTAACCTCTTGCTTTCGTAGTTTCGCGCTTTGACGAACGTTCTTGGAAGTATTGTGACAATGTATTTTGATCCTTTCATGAGATCTTTCATGACACTTATGCAGTGTAGGACGCGTGTTTCGGCCTTTAAGCCTCATCAGAAGCAC